TTGTGTGGAAGTAAACTTTGATGCTCGTTTCAATCAGAGGGAAAAGATAGGGTGGTCAGGTGTATTTATCAGAAATAATGAGGGATATGAGCTGGGGGCATGTCGAAGGAAAATGGTAAGGATCCCCTCACCTTTTGCGGCGGAAGCACAGGCGGCTGAGCATGCTTTGGAGTTAGCAAAATATCTCGGCTTTAACCACATAATCCTGGAAGGCGATTCGAGGACTGTCATGGAGAAGCTGATTGTAGCGCACGAAGACCATTAAGAAATAAGTGCTTTCATATGGGCAGTGAGACATCGAGCTCAAGATTTCCTCACCTGTGATTTCCAGTTCATACCCTGATAAGGTAATAAAGTGGCGCATCTTCTGGCCACATCCTCATCGAAAGAAGAGGGTGATTTATTTTGGATAGAGGAGCTCCCAACAGGATCGGCAAGACAAACACGGAGGATAGGCGTTTGATAGACCCACCGTGATCTTCCGTGGACGGTGGTAGTGCTCTTGAGGTTCTAAAATATTTTGCTTTTAAGGCTTGTGGTTCTTCAATGGAAATGGATGACATGCAAGCGTTGGAACGGTTGAAGAAATAGGAGATGGAGCGTTTTTCTTTGTTCTAAGATTTGTTTGGGTTTTCCTTGCTTTTATTGCTATTTAGACTTATTTTTCCTGTAGTGCTAGCTGTTTCGAGATAGTGGTGGACAACTGATTTCAGTTTATTTTTTAATAATATTATTCGGCCGTTATTTAAAAAAAATAATAATAGAGGAGTTTTTGTAAAAAAATAAAAAGGATTGATATAAAAAATATTTAAATTATATATATATTTTTTATTTAAGTGTCTAACTCTTTTTCTTGATCAATGTAGTTGTCTAACATTTTCGACGTTATCATTTTAAGTGTATAAATTGTAACGGTCATTAAAAAAATATCGTCAACCACTCAAAATGAGTGAGAAACGAATAAATGAGTGATTACAAGAAACTCATCCTAATTGACGTGTGAGTTTAAACATCTAAATATATAAAAAAAAATATAATTTAGACATTTTTTAATCAATACAAAACATGTTAACGACTACATTATAAGGAATAAAGAAAACACAAATATAGTAGATCGATTTATTACAATCTATAAAATGTTGATTGATGATACCCACACATACTATAACTTCCGTTTAAACAACGGTCCCGTTTCGCAAATAAAAACAACAAATCATGACCGTTTTACCATTGATAGTAAAGTTTGGTAAAAACAAAGCATTAGGTAAAATTTTGTCATTAACCCCTGTACTACACCAAAAATATGGATTTAATTCTTATATTTTTTCATTTCTCAATTCTAGGGGTAAATTATACTATTCACCACTCGGCTATCTTCTCATTCTTATTTTGGTCATTGAAGTTTAATTTATTTTAATTTAATTACCAGATTTTTGAATTATTCTTGTTTTATAGTCACTCTACTGCTCAAATTAAAAATCTATGACGACAAATTATTTTATTATTTTTATTATGAAACAATATTTTTTGTTAATATTTAATGTCAAGTACTATTTATAATAAAAAAAGAAAATTAAAATCACTAAACCATAATTTCATTATATAATCCCCAAACTTTAACCTCAAACCCAAATCCTAACCGATCATCCTAAACCCTCAACAACCACCTCATAAAATCCCAACTAGGGCTGTAAATGAGGTAAAACACATCACAAACTATTGAAGTTCAACTCAATCAAAATTGTTTTTTGTTCAAATAATTCAAGGAGTTGATTTTTATCTTTATATCGCAATCTATTGTATACATCATGTTATTACGTGTTTACGTGTTTAGAAAATGAAATGAAAAGTATATAACTCAATAGCATTGACAGATCTAGAAATTTAAGAATGAGATTTAAATTTTAATTTTTTTCCTTAAAAATAAGGGTATGCAAAATTTTTATTTCTTTCATTTTCCCTTAACACATTAAGTTAAATTTAATCATTTTTTTCAAAATAATAGGATGCACTTGGCCCCTACCAAGGCTTAGTGCATATGTCCCTGCTCAATAGTCATACCAAAATGTATACAAACATATCAATTCAAATTATAGTACTCAATAATTTTGTGTATAATCAATCATTTTGTAAGAAGACATCTCGACCTATGTCTAACAACGCTAACCAGAGTATCCTCATAAGTCCATATACAGATACCTCTGCTACCCAACTCCGATCTAACTCCAATATCCATGAATTCATGGGTTTGTAAATTGTAAAGTTGTAGTTTCCCACTCGTAAAATGTACAAATATCTTATTATTACCCTTGCTCATGTTCCAAAATCGGAACAAGTCATGAAACTCTACAAACGATCCGATCAGTAATAGTTTGGTCCAATATTGAGCTTGGCCTTGCTATTTCACACCCAAATATCATGATTTGATGTATAGCTATATGGATTCGAATCGGGTATAAACAATCAACGGGGTTGGTTCAAGTGATAAGCATCTTGATATCGCTTAAGCAAAGTCTTAGGTTCGAGTATTTCTGTATACAGAAAATCTCCGCCGGAAGACTCACCCACCAAAACTGGGGGTGCAACCCGGGTTGGACCGTCTTGGGACCGGAGAGCAACCAAAAAAAGAACCGGGTATGAACAAAGAGATACTATTAATGTTTGGTTACCTTTTACACATGCATTGTTGCGACTAACGCTAATTTCTTGCCCTCTAACTAGGCCAACATCTTTTCTTTTTAACACCCGCCATGAATTCGTGCTCATCTTGTAAACTAAACCCCGAAACGATGTATTAAAGAATTTGCGACTCGTCACGAAATATATCACCTTGTAATAACTTAAAATAGGATCTGACCCGAACCCATGATAAATCATATGTTTTCGGGTTTCTACCTTCAAGCAATATTTATGAAGTTTTCTGATTTCTCTCGTGAAGGGATTCCATAACCATATGCGTAAATTTTCGTCGGGTACACAAAGTAAACCATCGTGAACGCAGTAATATCCATTGCTCAAAGCTTGAAATTGTGGGATCAGATCATCAAAAGATGCAAGTGTTTGATCATGGAACATACGAAGAACATGTTTGTCATCATGTCCGTCTCTATAGTCTAATAAAAGTCGTTGATTTCTCTTGTTCTTTTTGCTAAAGCTAAGGTATTGGGAAACAAAACTTGGGTTGTTGAGAAAAGACCTCTAAACTGTTGATACAAACTTGAATCGGATGATTGACTTGACAGGAGAATCATTGTCACCAAATCTTCAGGCCATTGCTCATTGGTTTTTAAGGCCATTCGCTTAATCTCATTCAATGGAATTCGGAAAAGTTAGTTGATTAAATAAAATTTTGTTTTGCAGTTTGGGCTAATCCTTAATTTCTCATACATAACCTAATTTCTTTAAATGGGAACAAAATCCTAATAAAACTGCAATTTGTTACAATTTTCTGAATTTCAAAAGCCAAATGACATGAGCCAATCAATTTTTTTTGGTTTTTATGTTATTAATTACTTTAATTTTAGGAAATCGTGCTTAATATCATCCACCTGTTTTGTACATGATCTCGATGTTGGAAACAAGAAGGTAATTTATTATGTGTGATCTTTGATTAATTTGTGATCAACAATGATAATAATCGGATAATTTACTTTATGCCTTCTTTAATAAATTTGTGATTATCAATGACAATAATGTGAGAGAATAAATAATGTGAATCACTCGATCTTGAAACGACTAAAATTTAGTAAATCCAAATTCCATTGTATATTTAAATATGAAATACATAAGAAAAACATTCTTTAAATTTCGTCCAAAGTCAAAATTTCTTATCTAAACTCATTTAATTTTCTACTTATAAATTGAGCTACCGACATTTCGATCGTTAAATATAACAAGGAGTCTTTAGGTACGAAAGAACGAATCATTTTTATGTTTCCAGTATCATCAAATATGAACGAGTAAAATATATTTTCAATAAATCCCAAATCCTCAAGTATGGAGGGAATATATTCAAAATTTGACATATTCGGAAGGAGCAGATTATCTTCAACCTATAGTGTCTTTATCGAATTCAATGATCAGACCATAATCTTCATTCTTCAAGATCCTACTTTCGTGTGAATGGACAAACCATCATCTTTAAAATCGTACCTCATTGAGTGTGAAGGAGCGTATCATTATTTTTAAATCTCGTCTCATCAATTATAAAGAAAAGAATCATCAATACTTCAAGACCAAACTTAAAATCAAACGAAATTCGTTGCTCTTTGCTCTATTGTTTCATTAAAATACGATTGCATTACCAAATTAGGATGTAGATTTTAATTAGTCCCAAATTTCAATATATTTTAATTGAGTTCTTCAATTATCATATTAATTCAAATCAGATTCTCTCGTTAGTTTAATTATCTTAATTATCTACTCGAAGACGTGAAATATATTTAAAATATATGGATCATGTTTTAAACATGTATGCACACGCTACATGGTAAATTTCGATAATGAAATATTAAAAGATCAAGTCAAAATCATGCTTCAACAGTTAGAACTTCTAGCGACTCATGTTAGGGTTTTGGGTGATCGTACCCATGCAACCGGAAGAGGGGCGACCGATATCCGCCCTCCCCTACCCTCAAGAGATCGAATGTCCAATTGACAGCGGAGGACCAAATGGTATCCAAAGAGGTTCATAGTGTATCTCGAGTCATCAATGTCCAATTGAGGCATTTTAAGATGCCTTAAAAATGTAACTAAAAACCGATAATTTTATAAGGCATATCAACCAAAATTTATATAGATATCATTCAAAAAGTCATCGCAGGTGTACTAATATTCTAGCCTTGAAAAATAACTTCAATTTATTTTTCAAAAATAATTAATTTAAGTAAACATTCAACAATACAGCTACTCAAAATAACAAGAAAAATAAACACATACAATTTTGTATAAGATTCGTACATTTTTTTGACCGTGTTATCTTCATTAAAAGATACGTATCTTGAGTCAACGGCGATCAATTAAGATGATTCAAAATATGTTAGAATGACAAGCAGAATACGACCCATATCTAACATCATTAACCTATTTTATTAACTTCATGTCTGCCGGTAACAACATGATTCTCCTCATAAGACCAGATATCAATACCTTGGCAACGCGGTTTGGCTTTAACTCCAGTATCTATGAATTCATGGGTAATCACAAAAAAAGGCAGAAAAATGATGGGGTATAAGCAACCAACAAAATCATAAACCTAATACCTGGCATTGCGTCCTCCAAACAAAACAGTGAATCAAAGTGAATTACAAAGTGCTACCTGACACAATTTCCCTTCTGTATTGCATTACATCTTTATGTTATTCGGAATTCTTTCGACCCTTTCTTTAGGAGAAATTACTAGTGGCATTGTCATTCCTCCTGAAACAATGATCTCTGCACAAAAATAAATAACAACAATGAATACACATTGGCACTTGTCTCCACCACATATTTGGATGTGAGAGTATGGGGGCATGATGCTCTAAATACAGTAAAAACTCTATAAAAATGATAAAGAAACTATAAATGGATAAAGAATATTATGTTCGCCATCTGCATATCTAATGCACACACACAGAGAGTTACATGAATTACTTGCATATGAAAAATACTAGATGAAGAACAATTAATAAAAGATCCAGTAAGATGCCATGTAAGTTCAATTACACTACACCTTAATCTCAACCATATGGTTCAAATTGTAGACAAAAAATCGTTTTCTATAGCTAAGCTCTTCATAACATATACAAACAACAAAACTGAGAATATATTCAAAGATAGCAGGAACAGGAGGAATCATAGTCGGAGGTATAAATAGCATTTTTTTTCTTAAGTTTTCGAGACAATAATTTTTCACTAAATATAGAGAAAGCCAGGATAACAAGGAATTGCCAAGTGAAACAGAAAAAATACCTATGCCTTCCCGGATTGAGAGATTTGGCCTTATGATCTCTTTGGAATTCACTAGGAAGATATCACCAATGTATAGATGGTTTGTTGGGACAAAAACACTACATAGTTCTTCATCCTCGTTTTCTCCCTACAATACACAATCAACAACATAACTACTAAAGAACCGTGTTGGGAAAAAACACCAAATTTCCTATAAGGAGCATTTGGCTATTACATGCCTTGAAAACTATAACCAAGATAAGTAGTGTTCATTCAACCGCAATCTCACAAGTTTTGCATACCATAATATCCAAGGAGCATAAGCCACATTCTTGTATATTTAATTAATTGAACACATACCCCAACCTACCCTGCTACCCACCCCTCCATCCAAGCACATACCATCCACCCTCACACACAGACTGCATAAATTCTACTGACGAGAAATTGTGATTCATGGTCTCTCATCCAGTGGCAGTGGCTCTGCTCTTCTCTAGTACACAGGTTGCCTTTCAAAAATATAATGATGTCCATGAGTCTATCCACATATGCATCGGCTATCAAATGTAGTGCATTTTATATTTGCAACCGTCAAGATTTTGGATAGACAATAAAGGTAAAAGGTCTTCCAAGTACACTACATGCCAAACAATGTTGTCGCACTTAAAAGGTTAGAAGCTGCCTTCAGGGAAATAAATCTGTTTCAGAATCCTTAAGACATATAATTCAAACTTACTTCAGAAAGGATCATTTGAAAATATGCAGGCCATCACATAAAATCTCATTCATCTAGAGCATTTCATAACCTAAGAAAACACAAAAAGCACCTGAGTCGGTAGGTACCCAAGAGTCCTTCCCATGCCAATTTGTTTCGCATAGTATATGAAGTCTTATTTACCCAAATAAACACTTAAATCATATTCTTTTCATGTTAAATCAATTAGACAGATATAGAAGAGCCAAATTACATTTTAAACAGACCTTGAATGATCCGAGATCCCATGGAAAGTTGAAACAGTATACATGGAAAAGAAATGCATATTGGCCAAAGAAGAGATGAAATATTAAAAAAAGTACCTGAAGGATAACAGTAGATGTAATGAAACCAAATGCGTATTCACCAACACGTGGATGCCGAATGATAGCCACCTCCTTAAATGCTGTGGTATTTTGATCTAAAAGAACCAGGATATAGTCATTGCATGTTTCAAGCCAACTTGAAAGTTCCCTAGTTGCACAGTTTTGGAATGATATGAGCATGTTGTAAATATTTCTTTGAAGGATAAGAATAGAGTATTGACACTTGAAGTACCCAACTCTGAAGTAGTGTGTGTATATTCACAAAACATAACACAGATATAACTATAAATAAAATTCAGCCACTCATATATACAGATTGGCTAACTAATTCAACATTTAACAACAGGAAGTGTCTGAAACCTGAACAGTCTTCTTAGCAGATTATAAAAGGTGTATTAACATAGTAGACTAGTTGCAAGCCAAGAAAAGCTAAAGCTATCCTGGCTTCTGAAATCGTGTGAAAGTACTTGAGAGGACGCAAATCATTTATTTAACTAAATTTATAGTTGTTGAAAATTTAGAAAATCTTTTCTGCGTAGCTATAAGATCTATGTATATCCCATATTTTCTGCTCTATTTTAGGTTAGAATAATTTATTCCTAATGTATTTTAGGATAGAATAAATTAGCTCCTATTTTTTGGGAGATTATAAATTTCATAGAATTGACAAATGTCAACCTCCATTTGTACAAATATTGTACAACCTGAGCCCAGAAATTCATAACAGATAAATTCAATTCTCTTTTTTTCAATAGTAAAATATAGTAGTTAATTAGGTGTAACCTGGAGATATTGCAACACTTATTTGTTTTGAGGCCGAGTATATATGCCTAACAAAGGGCAATCGTTTTATAACCCATTCTCCCACTGAGAAAACAGCAGCTCCCATCCATGATGAAACAAAAACACCAACAAAGAAGACAAAGAGCAAGGATGTGATAAATCCCAAACCTGCAAAGAGAAATCACAGCTTAGGCAATCAGTGGTCGAAGCACAAAAATCAGCAAAGAAATCTGCATAAACTGCAAGAATGAAGATAAAGAGGAAGTTTTCCTTTGGTGAAGCAGTATATTTTGATATTAAACAAAGAATAAATAATAAGCATTGCAAATTGATTATAAAATTTACAGAGTAAAAAGTTAGATAACTCAAATTTCCTGATGATATTTAGAAAAAAAATAAAAATGAGAAGAAAATGACAGTGCTTTTAGAACCCTCAGGCCACAACTTCGAGCAGCAACATTTATCACTATGGAGTTAAAAACAACGACTACCTTTGTTCTATTCTTCTTATAACTTCTTTTAGCACTTAATATGATTATCTGCTGGTTTATCTTTTTTACAATAAAATATTTTAAATTATGAAGAAAAAATGGGATTTGACAACAGAGAAGTGAAGCAAGGTTAATTAGTAATAACAGGAGTACTTATAAACTTACTAATACTTGAACAATAAAAAAATATTGAAGCCACAAGTGATACAGTTACAATTACCAAATATATCAACACCAAGTCGTTCATACAATGGACTGAAGAAACCATCAACAAACTGAAGAAACCACCAAGTAACGAAAAACGTAACTGCTACAGGAAAAAGAACCATGCTGCAATTTTTAATGTTAGGACATTGTTAGGATTGAAGTATTACAAGAAGCAACAGAAGAATGAGAACATTTGGAGATATCAAAGGCATCCTACCATCCAGTCATGAACTTCTTCGAGAACCAGCTTTGGAGAACAAAACAACAGGCCTGGAGAATAATTGAAACAAAAATTTCAGACATTAAAATAAATTTGAATACATTTCATTCATTATCGGCACAGATGTATGATAGAAATCCATGGAAACCAGCACATATTTATTCTTTTTAATTCATTCAAACATAAATTTTAGAAACACAAAGTAGAAAGACTTTCAATCTTTCATTCTAATGACTTGAATACATTTAATTTTTTAAGACATTAGAGCCATAGATTATTTCAACATCGGAAACGCACAAGTTCGATCTTGAAAGCACTACATCATAAAGGTCGTTCAAATTCTCAGTATTTTCTAAACAGAAATCATATATCCAAACACCTAACTCCTAAGCACTCCAATCCTCCTAATACACGGCAATTAATTAGTTTCAGATACTCAAATACGCAAAATAAATCATCACAATATCAAGATTTCTCTTTGTTTAAACACGAGCTAATTCCCAGAGACATTCAGTAACAACAAAATATCTGCTCGGAACTCGACCAGTTCGTAGCAGTTAAACACACTGAATTCTTGATCAGGACAAATCTTGAGTGGTATTTAACTATTTTCCCTTCCCAAATTATTCGTCTTCAGTCACAAAGTACATACACTTGCGACGTTTCAATTACAATTGCATTTGGACTAATAATTTTAAGAGGATGTCCAAGATCTGAAAATTAGTTATCGATCCTACATTTAAAAGCGCATCAAGACAAAAAAAAAGAAGAGTAAAAAGGAGGAAACGTACCTTGCGAGTGGAGGAGTTGGAGGAGCTAGGTGGAGACTTTGCAGGATCTTCGGGATCGGCACCACCATTTTCAGCTTGGCTAAGTGGAATCGACGTTGATTCTTTCTCTTCCGCCGCTGCCGCTGCCGTTGCCATTTCCTATTTTCCTTTCTTTTTTTTTCTTGTCAATGATGAAATCTAGAGAAAAAAACTTGACCTTTTAAGTGAGTTGTTGAGGTGGGGAAGTTGGAAGTTGGATTTAAGGGAAAACAAAATGGATTTTTTTTTTGGTTTCCATCATGTCACCCTGGTTTCATCCCGACTGACGTGGATCGACTCACGTCTAATGATAGATCGAAAAGATGTTAGAGTACGTGGTACCTTATAATTTTTAAATTCACTTATATTTTAAATTTTTTTATTTTATATTAATTATTTAATTTCACACTTTTTAAATTTTATAACTCTGTATATTAAAATAATATTAAATAAGTTTCTCGATAGAATTTTTTGTATACATAAGACTTCAAATTTAAGACATATTTAAATAATATTAAATTATTTACCAGAACCAATCTGATTACGTATCTAAAGCAATGCATGGATTTTTTTCCTTTTTTTCTTTTCTTTTATAGTGTTAATTTGTTAGTACTTAGTACTTAAGGACACTTCATTATTTTAAATAAATAAATAAACTATTAAGTCTTTTTAAAGTTAACGTGTGCATCTAAAGCAATGCCCCCACGTGGCGCATCGGTTGGGTCCGGCTCCGATTTCTCCTTGCCAAATCATATCATCTGTGACGCTCAATATTAGAAAATATAATTAACATAATATTTAATCTATTGAATTTGAAGTAAATTACATTATTACTAGCTGATGCCATTTATCACATTCCCATAGGAAGGACCATGAAAGACTTGTCGACATGTTTCTTTATCACTCTATATCTTCTTTACACCATTTAGCTTGCCAACTTAATAGATGCAAGAGAATGTGTGGGTTTCAGGCAAAATTTCAAACGAGATCAAGGAAGATTGGTGTAGCTTTTAAGAATTATTCGAAACGATTTTTCTCACCAGTCACTGCAACTGCTAAAATATTCAGCCTTTATATATAGTTGGGTTAAAAACTCAGTTCTAAACGCATTTTGATAATAAAAGATTGATTGTTCGGCATGGTTTCTACTGCCGATAGACTGATGAGAGAGAAAATAACACAAGAAAAAAAATAGCTGATTTAAATGAATTATTTATCGCAAGCTATTGGGTGCCAGTACATACACCAAGCATACATTCCCGGTTATGAGAAATATATAGCTTCATCGAAGAGAGAAAAGAAGACATGAATGGTGGTAGAATAGAAGACATGAAAGGTGGTAGAAAAGAAGACATGAAAGGTGGTAGAAAAGAAGACATGAAAGGTGGCAGAAATAAGCCAAAGAAACTGAAAAGATTTACATACATATGTTGTGATACATGAAATGGAAGAACTATAATTATCTATTTGTCTTCCTTTCTAAGTATAATTTCACATTGCTGCATTGAATGATTTACCGCAACCGCATGTCTGGGTAGCATTCGGGTTCTTGAAAGCGAAACCTCCACCGATAAGAACATCACTGTAGTCTAACTGCATTCCAAATAGGAAGAGGAGGCTTTTTGGATCACACACTGTAAAAAACAAGAAGAGAGAGGATAAGCAACCATTTAGCTTACAAGTCAATTAAGCCATCCAACTGCTACATCAACAGCCAAAGGAAAAGGAAACAAGCAAAAGCTTCATTCAGTTACAATATCCTTCCCATTAAACGGCCATTCTAACATCATGATAAGAAAGGAGCTAATTTGCACAAGTTTTCTCGGGATAGCCTAAATTATATGTACCGACACTAGAGTGAGCAAATAACATCGGTATGTGCCAGTGGTACAAATAGCATTTCGATTTCTACATGGCATTGTAAAGTTAAAAGTACTGATCACCATTCTCATTTCCCCAGACAGAAATAAACTGAGAAAATAGGCCAACTTATCCGAGAAACAAGCATCCTTCATATCATCTGATTGGGGGGGGGGGGGAACCAAGAAAAATAATCCCGTCATTTTATGCAAAGATTCCACATTCCTCCAAACAAAATTCATAATAAGTTGACATCATATGGGTTCTCCAATTCTTGAACTTTAGGAGCTGGAGAAGAATTGCAAACTGCTTGATGATCAGAGAATGGTGTAAAATATGCCAAGCATGAAAATAATTGGGAAGGAAACCTCTTATTCACATGTAGCAATCTACAAACAATAACGCCAAGTAAATATCTAGATGATGTCATTCTCAACCTCTGAAAAGAGAAGTTATAAAATTTATATTTTCAATACATAATTCTTTCAAGTATTGTAGGAACTCCAGAAATGCACATAGAAACCTTGTACTTTAGTCCATTAAGGGCTCAACATTTTCAAACTTTTACAGATAAAGACTTCAATTTGATAAAAGTCAACATATTTGGAAGACAAGCACCAAATAATAAAAAAGGAAAATTAATTATCTAAGTAGTTATCTATTGTAATTTAGAATTAGTTTGTTGCAAATTATGATAGCAGTTGAGTCTAAAATTTATATATGCAGATATGAATTCAGATATCTGCAAGATATTGCTATAACGCTATAGAATCCAGAGATTAGTAGTAATATTCTAATATAATCTGATAATAAACAAATTCAGATACATGAAAATTAATCGGATTAAAATAGATATATTTCATAAATTGCCTCTATCCATAATCCACACCAGGGTTTTAAAAAACAGTCCGGGACCGCGATTTCGCCCGCGATATAGCGGTTTCGCCGCCATCCGAGTTACCCGCAACGGCCGCAATAGCGCCCGCGACGGCCGCAATCACGGTAAATCCGAAATAACCGAAAACACGACCACGACCGCGATTTGAAACCCTGATCCACACTCCCTGAATCTGTCTAAAAACACATACCTATATCTTAGTTTTACTTTTACCCCTCCAACTTGTTTTCATAGTTAGTGTTTACAGCTATTTGCTGAATATTCCTGGCATATTACTCTATTAATTGGTTAACAACAATTTTTATAAAAATTCTGTTATGGTCATCTTTTGGGGTTATTCACGTCACAATCCTTCCATCGTTAAAAATTCCCAAATTTTCGGACTTGGGTCTTAATTCAATCAAATTCGGAGTATTTTCCCTTGAAGAATCTATTGGATAGACTATAATTTGTCATAATTTGCTTATGTTATCGTTCTGCATCATCCAATTTAGACTTGTGATATTTCTAAGACTAACGACCTTTCTCTAGCAAAATCCTAGGCTTAGAAATTTGACCCCTTTTTTCTTCTTCTAATCGAATTAGAAAGTAGTAAAGAACATTGTATATAACGAAACAAGAGACAGAAATGATCGAAACTCACCTATTGTAAATCCTTCATATTGAATGATGGAATCATCAGGTCTAGCATTAGTTCTCTTCTCAAAATCCATTGTATAGGACATGCCCGAACACCCACCTTGCTTAACCCCAATTCTCAAACACAAATCCTGACCACGCTCTGCTCTCATCTTGTTCAAGTGCTTCAAAGCATCGTCCGTCAACGTAATAGCCGAAGCCAGCCCCTCCGCCGCAGACGCCGCCGAAACCGCGGTTGCTCGAATCGAAATCGGCTTTCCGTCGCGGAGACCGGGTCGTGAAAACCGCAAAGAAATGGGATTTCGGGGTAAAGAAAACGAACCATTCGAGTTGTTAGAGAAGCGGAGAAGAGATGGGCAGTTCGTTGAAATCGAAGAGAGAGCCATTTTCCGATGAAGAGAGAACTCAAATGAGGGAGTAGATTTACATGTGGGGTTTTTTAGCACTTGAAGTTACTGCATTTGGTACGCAATTGGGTTGAGATTTTTTTGGAAATATTGGAAGATCAAGGCCGTTGGAAAATGTTGATTGGGTCAATTTAGAAATGCATCAACGGTAGAAATATATTTGTTTTCATTCCTTCAAAATTATATTTTAAAAAATAAAATAATTGAGGACTGCAATTTTTGCTGGCTTTCTTTATTTATTGTTTCACGGCATGAGATTTATAGGGTAGTTTTGATATTCGTAATTTAATATAAGGTTAAGAAATGTGTAATCGAAAAATATTAATATTGTTTTAAAATTTATGATAGAATGATACTTAAAATATTAATATCGTTATCTAAAATGTTAATTTATCCATAACATTTTAGGTAACGAAATTAACATTTTAAATAACGCTTCACCGAAAATATTAAAAATAAAATTAACATTTATGATAGTGTATTTCCTTAACCTTATATTAAAATGTTTTTCCTTATACATCATAGATTCCTTAAATCCATTAAAAATTAAAATTAAGATAGAAAAGAAAAAATGGTTTAATACCAAAATAAGCATTCATACTATACCTAAAATTTTGCACAGGTGTATAAACTCTTTTTTGACCTATCCAGATGTCTAACGTTACAAACGTTACTCATTTAGGTGTTCGGGTTGTTAATGAAGTTAATTTCTCCTTTAAGTGACACATGTCACAATCTGGTGCTTTTAAAAATTTTATTTAAAATTAAAAAGTATATACATTTTTAAAGAATAACATAAGTATTTTGAAATAATCCAAAAATTTTGAAGACTTTCATTTCAATTCATAAACTCACGTCGGCTATCACTCTTTGTCATCGACGAAGGTCCACCCGATCTCATATCCCCTCGACGACTAAAATCCGCATGAAATCGTGACCGATCAACAAAGAATATATATTTTATATCAAGCGAACCCTAGGATAAAAATCGTGATACCACACGATCTCGATAGCCAATCGCAACAACTACGACAGTGCAAGACTAGGAGGATATTAGTAACTATATCGGCGGTAGCGGTCGTGGCCCGAAAGGGGGTGACAGTGGATTAAGGATATGATTTAGGGATTTTAGGTATCTAGGGAATTTTTTTTATAATCCAAGAGAAATTATGGTTTTTCTTATAAATATAATAATATTTTTTAAAAATAAATTCAAAATTTTTATATTGTGAAACATTTCATTTAACGAGAAAAATTAACGTCGACCTAAATAAATAATATTTGTAACATTAAAAAAATTAATATGTCAAAAAATAGTTTGCACACTTGTTTAAGATTTTAACCACGCCAATAGGTAACTCATGTAGATCAAATTTTACGATCCAAGTATCCTACACACAGTACTTTCTCTCCTTTAGCCAATGTTTCCGCCTGCCAAAATTAGCTTTACCAAGTGGTTCCAGATTCGAATGCACTAAAGTTAATCCCATACGTCCCCTCCATGACGTCATTCAATTTGGCATGACACGTGGCGAAACATAAGGAACTTCGACGAATCCCTCCAGGAAATTACCCATGAAGGAAGAAAGATAATTTCTTTAATATTATTTTCGAATATTTAAATTTATCTTATTATATATAAAAAATAAATTGTATAAAATGGTTGAATCTATGCCTAACAAGTTCCCCTTCCTACGCACTGTCAAAGAACGAAGTCCAGCTTTCCTTAGAAATTAATGGACTTCTCCGGTGAGGGCTCAAGCCTCTATCCCGAGAACTTCGATCCGACAACCGAATTCGAGTTGTCGGATTACCTCGTGCTCGACGATAGGGGTTTTAAGGAAGATTCGTCATCGGAAAATACGGCATCGTCGGAAAAAGCTTTACGAGGAGCTAATGAAATTAGTTGTGCAATACCAAAAAATAGCATCATGCAAGTGATCTAAGCTTCCCTACTATGATTTTCGTCTTCCCTTTTTCACTTTCTCCTTCCAAACTCATAAAAAAAAAGTATGATTACCATTATAGCTTTTGTTCTTGTTTAAGAAATAATGTTTCCCCCCCCCCCCCTTTTGTTTTAAAATTTATAGAGAAAAGAAGGTGGAACAGAGGCATCGAGTTGCATTTAAAACGAAATCAGAGGTTGAAGTCATGGACGATGGATATAAATGGAGGAAATATGGGAAAAAGTCAGTCAAGAACAGCCCTAATCCAAGGTAAATTTAGTACAGATTAACAAGATTAACTTATTTTTAGGATTTTATCTTATTGCATGAAATGATGTAGACATTTGGTGGTTTATATCAAATTAACCCACATATTATATAGTTTCAAATTGATAACTAACTACTTAATAATAAATTAAATTTCTCACATTTCTTTCTCGTGTTCAGTTGGAAATAATATATAATTCAACTAGGCAGACAACCTTTGTCTCAATCAATGGACTAGAATCATAAGATATAATAATTTATAGTTAGATTAATAAATTTAAATTCAAGTTTTATATTAATGATAAAATTTTAAGTTAATTAAATTATATAAATTAAAATTTAGAAGGTTGTCATAGGTTTAGAGATGAAGCAGGGGAAGCGGCGCGACGAAGAAGATAGGTTTGGGGAAGAAAACATATGGAAAAAATGGATATATTGATATTTTATCCTTAAACTATTTTGGGTTTACAAAAATACTTGTGATTAGTAATTTATCCCTGAAACAAGTGACCATTTGTGTAGTTTACCCTTAAAATAAAATAGATTAACTACATGCTTAGTCCCTGAAGTCTCTAAAGTTTCCAAAATCAAAAACTTTTAGAGTTTAGTTACCAAAATATAAGAGAAAAAATAGTTGAGTGATGAATGGTGTAATTTACCCTATTTATAACAGCAATAATTAACGGAACTGTTGGTCAATGATGGAAAACATTGGTCAAATGGTCATATTGAGTTTTTTTTTTCAAGTTGGAGGGCCATAAGGATCTAAAAAAAATAGGATGATGGCCACGTTGATTTTTTTGTTTGAAAAGTTCAAGGACCTCGGGTGCCTTTTTTCCTAAATTAAATTATTTACTTCATTTTATATTTTCTATATTATTATAGTATAGTTTTGAAAATAATTTATCGAATCATGTCGTTCTTGTCTCTTTCTCATTTGTTTTGATTTTCAACATATATAAATCAAATTCAAAGTAGGATCATATGCAAGATTTTATATCATGGGTGCGAATTTAGAAATTTATACTATAAATTTAAGGAATGTAAAATTAGAAAAAGGTTAAGGGTGTGAAATTATATTATCAATAAAATATAAAAAATAATTAGATTATATGAGAATTTAAAATTTTAAAAGATATGATATTATATCATACCTAAATCCTAGGTATAATTTTATAATTAGTATGATTTCATGTCCAAAAGTTTCTCTCATGCGTTCCTTGTATAAAAAAAGTTATATATTAAATCTTTAATTTCAAAGAATGTAGTTATATAAACTCAAAACTTTATATTATAACAAATGAAGTACATTTAATCGATTGATTAAGTTGTTTATCTTTACCTTTTTTTAATATTTCCTTAAGTTATAGGCTCTAAACCTATTAGGAGTACGTTCATTTCTTTCTCTAAAGTGTCCTTTCATTCCATTTAAGTAAGATTAGAATTAAATTTAAAATTTATGTTAAAAAAACTTGTATTATAACAACGAACAATTCAATTAATCACACTTAAAAAGAAAAGAAACAAATTAAAAACATCACATCAAAGAGTTGGGATAGTAGCAAAGTATATCGAAAAGGAGTGAAGGGGAGCGAAAGGGGGACGCCCCCCATAAAGTAAAATTAAATTTGCGAGTAGCCATCACCATTCATCCATGAAGTAGACTGCAACACTATGGGCTGTGTGTTACCATGATCTTCATCTCATTGTATTTGTAATTTTTTCCCAAAACCAAACCATAGCCAAACATTTTCGTGCCATGTTGTGCAACTAGTGGTGTAATTATGGGTCTCGAGTTTGAGCACCAGGAATGTTAGGGATGTGATCGTTCAATGTCAAATAGTTGAGAATTATCTTTGAATAAATACTACTTTATACTTACCCGGATTAATAAAAAAAAGTGTTGCACTCAAGATACTGTGGTTAAATGTCGAATTTTTATACACATAAAAGCGATGTACTTGTTGGAAAATGATGAGATAAACAGATAAATCAAGATGCAAGTAAATAGTTTGAAACATACATAAAATAGTGTAGTACTTCTAATCTAACTCAACATGAAATTTAATTATAAATAATCAATGACATAATTAAAATTTATAATGATGTAAAAATTATTTATTAGACTCGTATCCAAAATTTTTTGTATGCGGCTTCTTTATTAAAGTGAACATATCTTGAGTTATTGATGTCTGATTGAGGTGTTTCGATATGTATTAGAAAAATAATTGACATACAGTTAATAAGTAAACATGCATCTCGATGTAAAAATTTCTAGATCCTATCTGAAAAATCATCACAGGTTAACAATAGTTCCAACCTTCAAAAACAAACTTCAATTTCTTATCCAAAATAAAGTGTTAAAAACCTTTCCTTTGCTTGTATAAGTGAAATTTAAATCTTTCTGAAATATCTCAAATTTTATAACAATCTTCCTTATATTCCAAAAGAATCATGGGTATATTAACTCTGGCATCTTTTGAACTATGTGCCCGAACTAGGAAGAATAAGACATAATTTACAGAACAATCGATGAATCATAATTCTATGAATAAATTATTTATGTAAATTAGAGATATTACCAATTATGTTACACCTTACTATTGTCGTTCAACGCGGTTCGCACACTAGGTCATGTGCATGTGTTAAATAATGCATTTTCAGCTGTGTTCTTGCTTTGATCATGAATGATTAGCTGATGTTTTATATATATTATGTGCAGGAACTATTATAAATGTTCAAGTGGAGGATGCAATGTAAAGAAGAGAATAGAGAGAGACAAGGATGACCCAAGTTATGTGATGACTACTTATGAAGGTTCTCACAATCATGAGAGTCCTTTCATGGTTTACCATAATCAAATGCTTCCAAATGCTTGGACCTTCCAAGCTTCTCCACCCTATTCTTCTTCCACATGAAAAAAAATATTATACATGATATTCATACATACATGTTTGTTTAACATGCACATCTACTTGAACCATATGTTTTACATGATTAATTACATATCTATATGTAGTATACTTGTATGTCACTACTTGATTGGTGCCTATAGACACTGCTTGAACCATATATTTTACATGTTCTATATTTTACAAGTTGCATGATTGAGTTGATGGTTGCCACGTAAGCAATTATATACAGGAAATACGTAGAGAATTTAAGAATTTAAATTAAAAATTTGGAGGGTATGAAATTAAATTATCAATAAAAATATAAAAATATATCAATTATATGAGAATTTTAAATTTCGAAGGTGCGATCGAAGTCGCAACACCCTTTAATCGTTCATGGTTATATCAACAAATCAACATTTGAGCTGGTTTGTAAGGGGACTACCATAAGTTATTTCTCATGTACCACTTTCTACCTTTGTAGTTGGTCCTTAATTTTTTTTCAATCCCATAAAATTCTCAATTTTGAATCCCCTTTCTCTATCTCTTATTAATTCAACCATAAATTTCTCTCTTTTCTAAATCTTAGTCTTTAATTTATCAAAAAATTTTAATCTTAACCTTGTCCAGTCGTAATGTAATGGTAAAATAATATATCATTCTTTATTTTTTTAATTTATTATTTAAAATCAAGCTCTATATCTTACTTATAATGAAAATAATGTGTCCTTACAAACTTTAATCATTTTTAATGATTTATTAATGAAATATTAAATTAATTATTTAAAGTAACAGAATACCCTTCCATAAATGTTTGTTTTGAATTTTCGCTGAAAATCTTAAAAATATCCGAAATGACTCTCTATCATATTTAGAACGGGAGAAATTTTCTATTAGATCATAATTTATATATTAAAACTATTTAATTTATATTACTTTATGATTACCTTACATTAATAAAAAATATTTATTTTTTATCATCAAAACAAATAAATTAAATTTTGAACGAACGTCCAAGAGAGTGACCGGTAGCAAAATTAGTCCAATTTTTCACAAACTAAACTCAAATCCAGTTAATTAAAGGATTAATACAGAAATAAATGTCTTTACCTAAAATACGATTTAGTGATTAAAAAACTTTTTACTAAAAATTAGTACTTAATATTTTTTCAGTTACACTTTTTAAGTACCTACTATTATATTTTTTTAATTTTTTAATAATAAAATTATTAATTTTTAATGAAAAAAAACTTTATTTATTTACGAAAGGAACCCCAATTCGATCTTTAACTCGTCTTATGGGTTTCATTTTTTGTTCATTCTTTTCCTCTGTTTATGCAAAGTTTAGGACTTTTTGTTTGTTATCTCTGTAAGCTTTCAATGTTACTGCATGATCTGATGTTTTTGTTCTTTTAACGAAATGGGTTTTGCTGAATTGGTGTTAAAATATAGACTGGGTTCTAAAGTTCAAAGCTTCTGGGTTTTTGCTTACTCTGAAAGAGTTTAATTTGATTTAAGAAGATACTTTATTTGGGAATTGCGTTGATGCAATTGTCTAAGAAAGTTGTAGTTTTTCGTTCAGCAGTATATGAATTCACTTTGCAGTATTTGAGAAATTGAACTATCCATTTAGTTGTTATGCATTAGAAAAAAAAAATTGGGTTCTTAGGCTTTCTAAGGGATTTATCCCGCGGGTGCGGTCGTTTCGGTTGCCTTGGTTGCGGACATAGGGGTGCTATTGTGGTGATTGCGGTCATGCAATAACAGTCGGATGGCACCACTACCGCTATATCGCGGACTGCTATTGCTATTGGATTTAATAAATGCAGTAAATTGCTTTGTTTGGATATACTTTCGTTTTAGTTTTAAATCTTGCTATAATAGATGAGTGGCTCACTTATAAGTATCAAGAGAAAATGGTCGATGTTGTGATGTTAAATCTATATGTTCTGAAGCAATTAGCGCCGCATTGAGTTGGCTGTTATGGTAATGATATGTTGTATGCAATCTTTTAAAGTATTGAATGATAGATATACTGTAACTTTAACTGGTAGACCTTGTAAAGTTCGGCTTTCTAACTGCAGGTTGAAAGTATTTGTCATTTGTTTACGTTTGCAAGTCATATATTTCATTGGCGTTGCACCGAATTTTTATCTGTGTTAAAAGTAAAGTTGAATGCCAACTTTAATTTAAAATTAATGTTCATGGTGCTGTATTTTGCTCTTTGATCGCAGAAGAGGACATAGGCAAAGCTGAAAGGGCTTACTTGCTGCAATTCGTGATGGTGGAAGTATGGTGGTCCGTTCTTGGGGCTGCTATCCCCGCGGTTATAGCGGGACAGGCTTTTAGAATGAAGAAAAGGCATGTTGAAGAACAGAGAAGTAAGACTGCCAGGGAAAGGGAGAAGAGTTCTGACGAAAATTTTGTTTGTGAGAGAGTCTGCACTTCAAAGAGAATGCTGAAAAAGGTTGGGGCGTTTTCGAAAGATCCAATTTCCGACACGTGTGTAACTGTATGTGGTGTGTCTGAGCCCGATGTATGCTCCGATGCTTGTGCCCGCACTGTTTGTGTCAACCAACATCAGAATTCAATATTTCTCTTAGCACATTTTTCTCTTAGGTTTTGCACACCAAAACGTCTAGAACATGGCGTTTAATTAAAGCTAGTCAGTGACTCCTGTCTCAGTTTCATTAGTTGGTCTCAAAGTAGTGAACCTTAGCGAGTCCATTTTAAATTCAATATTTTGGGTGATTGTTAGAATGGAATTTTTCTTTGCAATTGATGATTAAATGTTGTTTAACCTTGTTTTCTACGTTTTGCTGCCTGCCTCTTCGATGTTTGATGTTTGTATCATCTTCCATAGATGGTTAGGGATGACGAAAACTGTACCATTTCAAAGCTTAATTTTACTATTTGATTTCTCCACTAATCTAGTCTTATTGTAAGCTACCTGTTTAAGCATATTCAAGTATCTGAATTTCTTGTGGTTCACGGCATTGTCAATCTGTGTTTTCATGCATAACATTACCAATGACTCTTCCAGCAATGCTTATCTGCTAAAGGAAAAGATAAAGTTATGCTTAGCACTGGTCTTTTAAGCAAGTTAAACAAGCCTTTTTGTTTCCTCGATGTCCGACTAGAAATAGCCGGGATCGATGATGCTTGAATTAGGTTTCTTGATCTGTTGGATGTCATTTTCTATAGGTAACTACAGGATTTCTGTTATGAGGAAACTTGATTGAAAATGGATGTGAAATCATTTATTTCGAACATTAAAATACTGTAAGGTTCACCCAGAAACGAAGACTAAAAAAGATGATAAATTTATAACAAAAAAAGCCGACATACAAACATGAAGCAATAAATAACTCTACTGATACGATATACGGGTTATGTTTAAAGCTCATCACGAGATTCGTTTTATCTGAGGAAGCCTCTTCAACCTTCTCTGCCGTCATCTGTTCGGTTTCCGCTGCAGGTTTCGGTATCCTTGGCTCAGTTTCTGCTGCAGGTTTCGGTATCTTTGGCTCGGTTTCCGCTGCAGGTTTTGCAGTTTCTTCGACGTCTCCTTTCTTAGACTCTACGTTTTTCATCACTGTTTCTTCACTGTGAGGAACAAAACATGTTAATGTGAATGCGTAATAAGGAAAAGGGAAGAGAACCAAAAACACCATGGAATCATACCCTGGCTTGGGTGAAGTGAACTGCAACCGGAAATCATGGACGATGGTTTTGATCCTCCAGACGAAATTTTTATGTGCTTTCTTCAACAATGACATGGTTTTCGATACGAACTGGAAGGGAGACGGTTTGTCTTCATTAGTGGCCGATTTCTGCTGCTCGCTTTGACCGATCACTGGCACGATTTAATGCGAGAGGAGGATAAACAACAATGTGAAGCATCTTCTTGATTTGTTCATTGCTTAAATTTTGGAAAGATAGTAAATAAAGAAAGAAATAAAAGGAAGTGGTATTTGCATTTGATCTTGTGCTTTGTAGTTTGTAGTAGGCGGTTTCGAGTTTGTTCACGTAGTAATAATTAAAGGAAACGAGGCGTTTTCGCCCAGCTTCTCTACCACACTCCCTGAATGTTTCAAAAGTAATTGATATAAATATGTGGCTAAACTATGATAGTCACTAAAGCATGGTGGGGTTCTATTCTGATCACTGAACTAAAAATTTTGTCATTTTTAATTATACTTTTTATTAGTATGGTGGGAGTATAAAGTAATAGTAAGTATTCAGAGTATTTCTTTGCTATGCACACACACTATGTTGACCCAACTAGGGGTCTAAACGAGCTAAGTCAAGCTCGAGTATTGTTAAGCTGGACTCGACTCGAAAACTCGCAAGCTTAAAATTTTCAAGCTCGACTCGAACTCGAAATCTTGAACTGAAGCTCGTGAGCAGCTCGAAATGAATTTTTTTTTTCTCTTAAACTTAACTCGATTGAAGCCTCAAACTCAAACATGAACCTTAAATACATGAAATCTTACTGCATTTTAAAAAAAATCAATACATAAATATTAATATTATTAATAATTTTTTTTAAAAAAAATAAAATCTTAATATATTATATTTTCGAGCTTCTCACGAGCTTTTAAGTCGAATATCGAGTAGCTCGTTTGGGCTCGTTAAGAACTCGAGTCGAGTCCATTCGATCCGAGTATTTATCGAGCCTTGATCGAATCAATCTCGAGTAGCTCGCGATCTGTCTCATCTCAGTTAAACTCAAAATAAAAACACACAATAATAGGTTTTAATTAGATTCGGTCCCCCTAAATTTCCTGGAATTGGACTTTTCTTGTTCAGAATTGTATGTTTTTTCAATCCTTGATGTTATGTATTATTAGAAAATGTTTATTTTTAGCACCATTTCTCATGGATTTTCTTTCAGGAATAAAACTCCCCCCTGTTTCATTCCCTCAATCTATTACACAATTATCTGCATTTCCAGTCCTATCAAGGTATGTCGATGCCCTTTTTGTTTCTTTTTTGTCTGAATTATTACAATATCCTGAGTTTCGTGTCTTTTTTTTTTACTCTTATGTTTCCATTATAATTAACCAACGTGATATTCAGAGACGATCAGCACTCAGCAGGAATTGAGGAGGAATCGCCTGCTGCAATGGCGTCAACGAAGGACTCTTTAGCTGTGTCGATTGACGAACCGAAGAACAAGAAAAATGATTTTGAATCCTTGAAGATTGAGCTCGAAAAGGCCGAAGAATTGGAGGCGAAATTATCGGAACAAGAAGCTTCGTTTCATAAGCTGAAAGATGAATTGAACGAGGCCAAATCCTTCAAGTCCGACACGATTGATGTTTTGTCTGATGATCAAGACAGAATCAAGCGACTTTATGAACAAATCGAGGAAATAAAAGAATCCGAGAAGAAGATATTTGATGCATTCATGGCTCAATCCAAAGTCTCCGAGCAAGCCAAGATTCAACTCGAAGAATCCAAGAATCAAATCAAGCCTCTACTGGAAATCCTGCAAAATCGGGGCAGTCTGTCATCGTCGTCGATGGCGGATGACCGATTGACAAGACTCGAATCCAAGCTTCGAATCACCAAGGAGAAATTATCTCGCGCCGAAGAGAACGAGCAATCTTCTTCGTCGAAAGCCAAGAATCTAGCCGAGGAAGTCCGACATCTAAAAGATGAACTGAAATCCATTACCGATGCCGAGGAAAACAACAAGAAGGCCATGGATGATTTAGCCTTGGCATTGAAAGAAGTGAACACAGAAGCAAACGAAGCCAAGAACAAACTCTCTTCGACACAAATCGAGCTAGAAAAAATGAAAGGATTCATCAAAATCCTCAAGGCGAAGCTGAGGATGCTGGAAGGGAAGTACAACGAGGCAAAGAAAGAAGCGGATCTATACAAAAACACATCGGAACGATTGAGAATCGAAGCCGAAGAATCCCTCCTGGCATGGAACACGAGAGAGATCGGATTCGTCGAATGCATTCGGAAAGCCGAAGACGAACGCAACGCGGCGAAAGAAGAATGCCAATCGCAGCTCGAATCGCTTCAAGAGGCGGAAAACATTAACAAGAAAGCCAAGGAAGAGAATCAGAAGCTTCGGGACATCATGAAACAGGCCATAAACGAAGCCAACGTAGCCAAAGAAGCCGCTAACATAGCCCGAGCCGAGAATTCGCAGCTCAAGGACGCCATTGCCAAAAAGGATGAAGCTTTGGATTTCCTTTCACAAGAGAATGAGACCCTCAAGATCAATGAAGCGGATGCTGGTGAAACCATCAAGGAGTTGAAGAAGATGTTCTGCGAAATAGGCAACAAAGGAGTTTGAAATGTCCGATGAACATGAAACTGGTAAGAAAACAATTTTCTTAAAAAAAAAGTGACGAAGAAAGGGTTAAAGAAGATGAAAGTGACGAAGAAGATTCAATGTTAGCAGAAATTTCATACACTGTAGCAGTAGGAATTCATCCAGATTTAAATGATACAAAAACATTATTTTTTGTTATTTTAGGTAAAATGACAAATTTAATTGTAATTGTTTACCCTTTTTTATTAAATTAACGCTTATTTTTTTTTAGAAAATAACCTTAGTAACCGAAAATATCTTGTAATATACGATTTTGACCAACTTTTTTTTGATTTGCCAAAATGACCAAGTAAATCGCAATGCGATCGATAATTCGCAACGCGATCTCCGGTATCGTAAATAAGTTTCCAGATTCGCAACGCGATAGTCGAAGTTCACGTTGCGATTCATTCCAAATTCGTTGCGACAGGCGAAGCTCGCGTTGCGATTCATTCCAATTCGCAACGCGATAGTCGAAGTTCGCGTTGCGATTCATTCCAATTCGTTGCGACAGGCAAAGTTCGCATTGCGATTCATTCCAATTCGTTGCGACAGGCGAAGCTCGCGTTGCGATTCATTCCAAATTCGTTGCGATAGGCGAAATTCGCGTTGCGATTCATTCCAAATTCGTTGCGATAGTCCAAATATTGCATTTGTTTCTTAAGAATTTTCTCTAAAAAAATAGAATTTGCGCGTACGTGTCGAAGACACGTATTACCACGACCACGACCACGACCCGAGACGGGACGGGACGGCGACGGCGCGCGAGAGTTCCCCTTGTTCTCTATCACTCAACAAGGAAGTGAGAAAGCCAAACCTTAAATATCATTCCCAATAGTGTTTCCAATACTATGTGGGATTGAGCATTACCAACACTTGTTTCCAATACCATTACCTTCATTGTTGTAAGAGTTTAATTTTGAAACTAAAAAATATTTATTCGAATAAATAACTTACCCTTTGAGGACTTTGATCATAAATGAAGTAATTGCTAAAATTAACTCTGATTCGGGTTCTTATAGTGTTCAAATGACTTACTTGCAAAGAGTAGATGATGACCAAACAACTCGATATGTGTCCTTTGTGTCATTATCAGCTAGTTTTCCTAGCATCCTCAGTTGAAAACTTCCATCATTGTCTCCTTTGCATTTGTTTGGTTAATATTTTTCTTCCATCAAAGTCTTCAAGGGTAAGTTAATTATTCGAATAAATATTTTTTTAGTTTCAAAATTAAACTCTTACAGACAATGAAGGTAATGGTATTGGAAACAAGTGTTGGTCAATCCCACATAGTATTGGAAACACTATTGGGAATGATATTTAAGGCTTGGCTTTCCCACTTCCTTGTTGAGTGATAGAGAACAAGGGGGACTCTCGTGCGCCGCCGCCGTCCCGTCTCGGGTCGGGTCGTGGTCGTGGTAATAGTAATAGTAATACGTGTCTTCGACACGTCCGCACGAATTCTATCTTTTTAGA